GCAACGCTCGAGTTTCAAACATACGGGTAACTGGCTGTACTGAACTTTCTGTGTAAATTGAGGGCGCAATTGCAAACGATGGCGCTTAGGCGAAATTTGATTGGCTAAATCTATGGCAGCCATCTTGGATGGTACACACACACAGCTCTGCGTATTTCGAACATCGAATACATTGCAGTTAGAGCTCAAGTATTCTTATTATACCTCCATGGAAATTGTCAAAAATGCAAAGTGGTCAAAAACAAAAGGAACCAGCTGATCACACGTACGCTTCATGATCACACGATTTTTGTGCACTCAGCTCTCACACTGCGGTACGGGTGCAGAAGGAAATCAAGTAGACCGAACTTAATGAAAAAACATTAAAATTGTCTGTAATCATGATTTATATGGGACAATTTATTAGTATACACTTTTATTTCTAGTACTGAAATGAATTTACAAATTTGAGCAGTACGGGGTAAGTTGAAGCGGTTTTGTGCACCTAGTTACCAAGGCTAAGCTTCCCAATTTTGACGAAATTTACACGGCACCTAACCCATTGTTCGTCCGTACATCACGAGAGGTTTGACAATTTAGTACTGTATTGTGAAATTTCTGTCGTTGTAATTGTGCAGTTGATAAGGATAAATTATTGATTTGTGTAACTGGTTAATTTGTAATTAACTTCTTCGATTTCTCTTTCATAAAATAATTCGTCTTTTACGTTAACAGCTATTTTCCAGACTTGATTTTCGTCTAGGCCTAGGCTAGCGTAGGCCTCTGCATTATCTGGTCAAGAAGCATACATACAGTAACGGTCTCACATTCACCAGGAATTCTACTCATCATATTTATACCAAAATGGGACGTTATAGTGGAAAATCGTGCCGCCTTATATGTATGATGGTTATGACTAGCACATTTTTTGTAGCAGAAATCACTACAGGCTACATTACAAGTTCCATGGCTCTTGTTGCCGACTCATTCCATATGCTCTCAGATATTGTGTCATTAATAGTTGGATTTGTTGCCATAAAGGTGAGAATTAAGATAAATGATAAATTGATTTTTAATTTCCTTGCTAAATTTCTTTTGGTGTAAAATAGTGCCTAGGCTTAAGCATTTATTTTATTGCATATATTTGGTTTAGAATTTGTTGTACCAAGAAATCTTTACAGTACACTACCCTATTTGTTTTCTCTCATTAGGTTTCAAAATTAACGACGTCGCGGAATACCTATGGTTGGGTGAGAGCGGAAGTAGTTGGTGCACTTGTTAATGGTGTTTTCCTGGTTGCTTTGTGTTTCACGATATTTGTTGAAGCGTTACAACGTTTCATCGAAAAGGAAATTGAAGTAGAGAAACCATTACTGGTTCTTGGGGTCGGCACTGCTGGACTGGTTGTGAATCTCCTTGGGCTTTGCTTATTCAGTGGTAATGTGTTTAAGAATAATAATTATAGTATTTATTAAAATTAAATAAAATATATAAAATTAAATATAAAAATATAAAATTCAATATATACTTTAAGTATACATGTCATCCCTGAAGTAATATGAAACAAAACCTAAAAGTAGTCAATCAATACAATTTTTGTTTGTCAAAAAAATTTCATAATTGCTTAATAGCACCAGTGATGAATACAGTAAAACTTGCTTAAGTTGACTTTGCCGAACTCGTATAATTTCTCTAAGTCAATTTTATCTTACATGCTAAATTGTTGTGTTTTCTTTTGGTTAATGTTGTTGAATATCGGTTAGTTGTTGGTGACTTTAATGAGTAGTATGACACAGTTCCTTTTAGTTCAC